GAAAAATTTACCAGCTAGTGTCAAGAAACATGAATCTTCGAAAGAACATTTAATCAATTGCTTAAGTTTAAAAACATTATAAATAGGAAAAAATATGCAAAATATTGACAGACCTTTAGCTGGAAATATTACTTTATCCAATACGTTATATAATGAAGAAGTTAAAAAAAAAAGAAAATTTTTATTATCATATTTAATTGATGTTACGATTATTTTAGCCAACCAAGAACTTGCATTTCGAAATCGGGATGAGATCAAATATGGATCATTTTCAAGAAATTTTTAATTTAAAAGTTAAATGCGATCAGGAAATCTAGGGTCATATTTAAGGGGTGTTAACGGGGTTTTTCAAAAACAATTCAAAACGATTTAATAGCTTATCTTTTCTGATTACTTAAAAATGAAATTTCAAGAGAAATTAATGAATCTTAATTTTTTTCTATACCAGCGGACGATGCTACTGATTCTTCTTGTTCAAGTGCCATCTCCGCGACGGAGGTTGGCAATCATCATGGCTATTCTGATCTTCGAGGCAGCTGTTTTGAACAATTGCCTTGAGCTGCAACCAAACCACTCTCTCAGATTCTTCAACCAGGAAACGCGTTTTCTTCCTACGCTTCTCCTACCCTCTATTTTTCCTTGAATTTAGAGTCTCAAGATGTTGAATGTTTTGCCTCTCATTATATGTCTGAGATATTGCAATTTCCTTTCTTTTATTGTATTTTCCATTTCCTTTTCTCTGCATATTCTCCTTAACACTTCTGCATTCGTGACTCTATCTATCCATGGAATCCTTAACAATCTTCTAAATGTGCACATTTCAAACGCGTTAAGTCGATTTATTGTATTCCGGTTTAATGTCCATGATTCAGCTCTTTAGTAGAGTACACTGTGTACTCTAGCCTTATTCTGAGGGCCAATGTCAGATCTTTGCTGCATAAAATCTTTTTCATTTTCACAAAGTTGGCACGTGCTTTTTCAATTCTGACTCTTGTCTCTGCAGTATAATCGTTATTTTCTGCGATTATCGTTCCCAAGTAAGTATATCTTTTTACTCTCTCAATCTGCTGGCCGCCTACCGTTAATATTTCATTTGTATTGTTGTTCTTACTAATTTTCATAAATTTGGTTTTTTTTGATGTTAAGAGAGAGTCCGTATTCTCCACTATATCATAATATTTTGTTCATTATTCTTTCTAAGTCTTCCAAGTTGTCGGCTTTTATGACTGTATCGTCGGCATGCCCAATGTTGTTAATTAAACTTCCGTTCACTTTTATGCCGACTGTCTCGTTTACCAAAGCTTCTTGTATGATTTCTTCAGAATACGCATTAAACAATAACGGCGACAGTATGCAACCTTGAGTGACCCCTCTCCTTATCTCCACTTCTGCTGCTGACACTTCTCTTCCAATTTTCACATTTGATCGTTGGCTGTAGTATAAATTTGATATCAATGTTACATCCCTCACATCTAGATTCTTGTTTTTGAGTACATGTATAAGTCGGTCATGTTTTACTTTATCGAATGCCTTGTTGTAGTCTATAAAACATACATAAAGATCTCGATTAATATCCAAACATCTTTGGGTCAGCAGGTTAAAAGAAAATAGTACCTCTCTTGTGCTCATTCCATTCCGAAATCCAAACTGGGAATCACTAATATCCATCTCCAGCTTAGCCTGTATTCTATTTTGGATGATTTTTATCAGAGTTTTTAAGGGATGTGACATTAGACTGATCGTTCGATAATCACTACATTCTTTGGCATTTACTTTCTTTGGTAGACAAATAAATGTTGATGTCAGCATTTCACGTGGAATGATTCCTGTGGAATAGATTGTGTTTAGTAGTTGGACTATAAGATCTATGTTTTTTTTATTGACCAGTTTTAGCAATTCACTTGGTAATTCATCTGAACCAACAGCTTTATTATTTTTCATGGACTTTACTGCATGCATAACTTCTGACTTTGGTATTTCGGGCCCCTCGTCTTTACTCTGATTTTCTTCATATGCTACTGATATTACCGGAAAATTACAGTGTATTTTAACAATCCGGTTTGTTAAAAAAATAGTCAGGTAACAGAAAGATTTTAGGGGTTTTTTTGATATTAGCGAAAATAGATCGGCAGACGCTCTATGTAGTTTAATTGCAAACGTTCTTGAGCCATATGGTTACAAAAATAAATTTATTGCCCAATGTTACGTTGGTGCAAGTGTAATGGCCGGCTCTTTAAATGGATTGCAATCAAAAATTAAAGTAGGTGCTCTAAATGTGCTTCTTACACATTGTTGCGCTCATAGATTATTATTATTAATTAGATTATTATCAGAAATTGTATGATATTTTTTGCAACGGTTACATCAATTCCTGGTTTTTTAGTCAATCGGCGAAGAGAACATGTCGAAGTATTCCAACAAATTGTGAAACTTTTTTTTTTTAATTGACGTATTGCCAGATTCCAGTAAGAACCTAAGAAAGTATCCATTGACTTCTGGCAGGCAACGGTGGGAGAAATCTTTTTTGGGCATCTAACGTCACGGAGCAAGACACCCTGGCATCTTTCGGCCGAGTAGAATACTAGGCCAGAAGACCTCAGAGTAGTGCCGGATTAACCGTGTTCCAGCGAAAACCTTAACCACCGTTCCAGAGAGGTGGTTTTGCCACTCAATGAACAACTAAAATAAAAAACTAAAAACTTATAAATAACCATACCTATTACCGTAAATCAGAAAATATTTCAGCTGTTAATCCATAAACTAATAAATAATAATAACCATAAATTTCAGATCCCTGGTTCAATTTCCTCCTCTATCCTTGTGCTAATTTTTCTTCATCGGCACAGAAATCATACAGTGTACTTCTCCCCATTTTTTCTCTCCTCTCAACCTTATGTTTACCATGTTTCTTTCATCCAGCCCGAAACCCATTCTACAGTTTGCCAAGGAAGATTTGCCTATTCTATTTGTGAAGGTGTCAAAACTACCATGTCCGGTCAGAAACTGCGTCAGGAAGTAGTCTAGTTTCCTGAATTTACATTCGCACCACGGCCTCAGATCGGGAATAAACTCCTTCGTCCACCTTGCCTTTCCGCTATCATTCGCCCATTCTCTCTGCCACTCTACTATCGTTATTTCTCTCTCATTCTCATCTATATTTCCATCCATCGTTCTTGCATACACCCTCGCTCGCTCTTTGCACAACAAAACAATCGGTAGCACTGCTCCAATGACATATAGAGCTTCATTTAACACTGTCCTATATGCGCTAGATACCCTGAGGAGCATTCGGCTTTGCGAAGTCTTCATCAGGTTAGCGCATTTCGCAGTGTTCAGTACGATACACCACACGGGGGCAGCGTGTTACCACCGACTGGAAAACTCCATTTAGCACCTTTTGGTTCAACCTGGGCCTCCAATGTTTGGCGTGCGCCGTATCAACTCCTCCAGATTTTGGTTCACCTTCTCTACTGTCTTTTGGATGTGTACTCCGAATCTTAGCCCTTCCGACAACCAGACTCCTAGATACTTAATCGATTTAACCGGTGCAACAGATGGACTTTAAAGTCGAAAATGTGAGCGTTCTTAATTCAAAATGGAATGAGTTAATTTCAGTTTTCAATAAAATTATCGAAGACGAAAATTCGGGAGTCGAATCTATAAATTTAATATAACTGACTAGTAAATTTAATATTTTACCCTTTATGTAAAGAAACACTAATAAAAGTTTGCCTGTCATTTTACGTCAACTGCGGAACACATATCTCCTCCATTTTTCTTTTGGATGATCATTCTTGTTGAGTTTTTAAAATTGTCAGTAAATCAAAGAAGGGATAAAATAAAAGTTTTATTTTGTTTCCACAGAATTTCTGTCAATTCACAATGTGAAAAGAATTAATTTCCAAGGTGTTCCCAAACACTGATGCAAATTACAAATACTAGGCATGGTTATGCGAACGAGCCATTTTAGCGGCTAAAAATAAGAGCATCGGTGATTTAAGTTTAAAAATTCGAAGCCAATTTAATGGACAAATACACTCAGTTAAATCGATCGATTCCATATCAGTTATCCAAATGTAGTAATCAAATTATCTAACTGAATTTACACAATTTACGGCTCAAGGTTGGATCTGAGATAATCATTCTACAGCATCGGATAAACATGTTTAAATAATAGATAGTAGAATTATAGGAAAGTTCAAAGGGGAGGATGTGCTTACTCCAAGACTCCCACTTATACAAATTGACTTTGCCTTTTATTTAAGTGTGTCCAGTTCCCTGTGCGAATTGCATTCGCAATGTCAATTAATAAATCTCAAGGAATTGCCGTTTTTTCGCACGGGTAGTTGTACGTAACTTGCTCGAGATTCGCAAACCATGTGCGCTATTTGTTTTCTCTCCATATGTAAAAACTAAAAATATTGTTCACTATTAGGCATTACCATAGTGTATCTACATAATGATCAAATTTTTGTATTTTAATTGTAATTTTTTTCTAATCGGACAATTATGTCTCATTTTTTCATAGGTACTATACGACTATAAAATTTCAAAAGTAAATTTTGTTTTAATTAATGCAGTTTTATTATTTTTTTAATAAACTGCATATGATTTTTTTTGGTTAAATATTTGCTATGAGCACGCATGCTTAGTTGTATATTAATTTTCAGCCACTGCCAGTCAGTCAAATGTAAGTAGAAAGAAAAAGTAACAACTTTCGAATCCAGCGGGTATAGAAATATTTAATTAAAAAAAGAAAATTTTCATATTTATCAGATCGATTCTTTGAAAAGATAATGAAGCCGTCAGGGTTTTGAAACTGTTTTATTTGCTATATTATTGACCACATCCCACAATTAAATTTTTTTTAGTTGATATTCTAAGCTCCACACGTTTTGTTGATAACTTCTATAATTAATAGATATACTATTAAAGGAAAATTTATTAATTTTATGTAGTCACAAATTGCATACGACTATCATTATCTTGTTTCTTTTTAGATCAAGCAGAAATCTAATGATAATGTAGAGGACAGCGAGTTCAAAGCATTTAGTGGAGCCGGATTTAGTTTAAAATCAAGAACATAAAACCAATAGAATTGCTCTGATATTTATATTTTGTTTTGTTTGTTTTGGTTTTATTTTAATAAATAAATTATTATTAAAAGATGTACAAAAGTTCTTTAGTATTATTGCTTTCATATGTTTTAATCTGGTTTACAAAAGAAGTAAAACATGTCGTTCAACGAAGGGAATGACACATACATGTGATATAAAAATATTAAAGCTTCAAAAGAGACCAATCAAGAGAAGAGTGGAAAACTCACGAAGTATTTTCTGCAAATTTAATAATAATAATAACTATTATTATTATTAATGTAAAAAATGTTAATTCGCGAACACATAGCGTTCACGAGTAAGACTTAGTCACAATATGAATGTCTACATAGTTATATACCATAAATATTAATAAAATGCAACAATAGAAACTAAAGTGAAAGTCCATAGATGGTACCATGATAATATAATAACAAGATAGGATCTTCCCGTAGCACAAAATAGGTCGTGTTCGCGCATGCCGTCAAGAGTCACCATGTCACGGAAGTAGCGACACGAAATAAGCTTCATAGGAAAGATGCGCTGTAAACAGTTGGAAGAGTTCATTTACGCGACGAGCGCAGTCGGTTGTACAACATATAAACTTTTTAAAAATTTTATTAAAATCTATAACAAGGATATCGAGTACCAGTGGCTTTATGTAATTCTTAAATATTATTTTTGAAACGAAAATTTAGATTGTTACGAACATGCATTCAGCGTGGCCCGCCTAACGGTCGCATCTCGAAGCACCGAGAAGTTTCGGTGATATATCGAGCGCTGTAAAATTCCACCCGTCAAATAAAGAATTAGAGGTGGGACTACTCTCGAATAATCTCGAACATAATACTTTGGTATATATATGTAACGAAATTAGGAGTTAAGTTTGTTGATAAGAGAATACCGAACTGTAAAGTTATAAATAAATATATTTATATAAATTCGAACCGCTCGTTTTATTTAATCTCGCTACAGTTGGTGTCAGGTGTGGGGTTTGAAAATAAATGCAGCAGTGATTAAAAAAAAGAAGACTTTTGAACTTTTGAAAAGTATTGTTCGTCGGGAACATCCGCGTATTTCGGTAGTGATCTTTGTACGAAAGAACATTTAAAAAAAAAGTACGTGTGTGCCTGACCAAAGATGCTGCTAGTAGAACTTTCAGTGAAACAGTTGCGTGAGCAACTAGAAGAACTTCTCAACAAGAATGGAGACGACCCAGAGACATTCCAGTTCCAGTCAGCAGAAGAAATAACTTAACAAAAATAATTGATGTATAGATCTAATAGGAAACACGCGATTAAGGATGAAGGAGACTTTCGTAAGGTTTGAGAAGGAAGCAGAGAAGATGGGGCTCCAAATCAACGAAAACAAGACGAAATATATGTATATGAGCCGCAATAACCAAAGCAGAGACAGAATCGGTCAGAACATTACCATCGATGACTTTAACTTTGAGCGCGTTAGAGAATTCAAGTATCTTGGAACAACAATAACTGAAGACAATAACGGATCACAAGAAATAAACAACAGGATTCAGGCCGGCAACAGATGTATTTTTGCCCTCCAAAACCTTATAAAATCAAAACAACTAACACGACGTACGAAGATACAGGTCTATAAAACAATCATACGACCCGTTGTGATGTATGGAAGCGAAACGTGGACGATAACAAAGGCAAATGAAGAGAGACTACGTGTTTGGGAAAGAAAAATCCTAAGGAAGATCTTTGGTCCGGTGCTTGATGAAGCATCAGAACAATATAGGATAAGAATAAAGAGCTTGAAGAACTTTACCCAGACGCCAACATCATAAAAGAAATAAAGCCCAGAAGACTCCAATGGGCAGGACACTTCAGAAGACATTCTGACGAACGAACAGTAAGACTGGTGTGGGAGGAAGTTCCAACTGGAAGGAGACCACGCGGACGCCCTCGTCTTCGGTGGCGAGATAATATAGCAGGAGACCTAAGCACTATGGGCGTGGAGAATTGGATGGAGGTTGCTCAAGACAGAAAACAGTGGAGGCATGTTGTCGAGTCGGCTAAAACCCACGAAGGGTTGTAACGCCACGGAGTAAGTAAGTAAGTAAGTAAAATAATTGATGGAAAATTTGAGACTGTTTCCAAAAGATTCGATGAAACGTCTCAAATGATCGAAGAAACATCAAAAAAAAATGATAAGAAATTTGAAAACGTTTCGTAAATGATTGAAGAAACTTCTAACAAAATTGAAGAATCTTCTCGAAAGAATGATGAAAGATTCGATGAAACGTCTCAAATTATTAAAGAAATAGCTAGACAAAATGACGAGAAATTTGAAAATGTATCTAGAAGATTCGATGAGACTTCTCAAATAATTAAAGAAGTTTGTATTCAGAACAATGAAAAATTTGAAGAAGTCTCTAAAACATTTGATAAGGTAGAAGAGAAGATCAAACAGTTAGAGAGCATGATAACTAACACGAAACCATCAATTAATACGGTAGCTTTAGATCCGGTAGTGAAAGAAGAATCACCTAGAGACGAAATGGCACATCATATGAGATTCAAATTGCCACCATTTGATGGAAAGTCCTCTTGGTCCATATACCTTAGACAATTTGAAGCTATTGCGATAGCCAATCATTGGACAGAACAAGAAAAAGCTGTTTCCTTGACTGCTGCTTTACGAGGTGATGCTGCAGATATCCTAAGATCGATTCCTAAGGGTCAAGAAAAATGTTACCAGACCTTGTTCACTCGACTAGACAAACGTTACGGAGATGCTCATCTACAACAAGTCTACAAGGCGCAACTAAGAAGTAGAACTCAACGAGCAAGTGAAAATTTGCAAGAGTTTGAAGCAGATGTTGCTCGTATAGTGCGGTTGGCTTATCCGGAGGTACCAGACAACATTTTGGAAGAAATTGCTGTAGATACCTTCGTCAATGGGTTAAAAGAAAGTGAATTACAGAAAGCTTTACGACTAGCAAGACCGAAAGTTCTAGATGAAGCGCTCGCTATTGCCTTAGAACATGAAACAGCTAGTCAAACTTCACGGAGCCATCGAGTAAGAACCATTGAAGAAGGCGACGAACCAAACGATGAACGTCTGGAAGAAGTGGTACGAAAAATAGTTCATAACACGATGCCGAAGAGACGCGAGCCCAGATGTTGGAATTGTGGTGACGTAGGTCACATTCGCCGTAATTGCAAGAAAATGATACAACATTTGGAAAACTAGAACGGGTCGACACCAAGGGGCAACTGCCGACCTCGAGAAACATAGCCCCCATAGTAACTGTGAACATTACGTCCTCCGGTGGAATTCATAGCTTGTACATCGAGGGTCGTATTAACAATAAATGTAGACAGTTTTTGGTAGATACAGGTGCAACAAGAACTATTGCACGGCCAGAAGTAGTACAAGACCATCTTAAATTATCGCCTGCAACAGTAAAGCTTAGAACCACAACTGGTGAGATAATTAATACATATGGCGAGGCTAATATGTCAGTATCCATTGGCCAGACCACAGTGAAACATAGAGTATTAATTGCAGAGATCTCCGATGAGTTCATATTGGGGATGGATTTATTAAGGAAAGTTGGGGCTGTATTGAATGTCAAAGATGGAGTTCTCGAGATCAGTGGTGAAGAGTTGCCGTTTCATGAAGAGAAAGAAGATGTGATCAACTTAATAACTACTTGCGACGTAACAATACCCGGTAATAGTGAGAAAATTTTGATGACCAGACCTGATGGTTACTGTAGAGAGGGAAGTTTAAGTATGGTCGAAGATGTGAACAATGCCGAGTTCCTAACGGCAAAAGCTTTGGTGAGAATTCGAGATGTCGTTCCTGTAAGAGTTATGAATTTAAAGGGAACTGATATTAAGCTAAGTAAAAGAACTTTGATCGGACAGTGTGTTCCCGTGGCTTTGTTCTATGAATACTAATGAGAAACTGTCGAAATCTAAGTATCCAAAGGAGCTTGTTGAGACGATGATTAAAACGTGCCAAGATCTTGATGATGAACGAACTAAAAAAGTGAAGTCTATGCTGATAAAATTTCAAGATGTTTTCGCCATTAATAAGAAGGATAATGGCAAAACAAGCATAGTAAAGCATAAAATTAATACCGGAGACGTTCAGCCAATCAGACAACAACCTAGACGACTTCCATTTGCGAAAAGAGATGAAGCCGAAGACATCATCAAAGATATGAACAAACAAGGGGTAATTGAACCATCGAACAGTCCATGGACATCACCAGTAGTGCTAGTAAAGAAGAAAGATGGTTCAACACGTTTTTGTATTGACTACCGACAGCTCAATGCGGTAACTAAAAAAGATAGTTATCCTTTGCCGAGAATAGACGATATTTTGGATACACTTTCTGGTTCTCGTTGGTTTTCCACACTCGATCTGAAAAGTGGATATTGGCAAGTAGACATGGAGCCAGCTGATCGTGAGAAAACCGCATTCTCGATAGGATCAGGGCTTTGGCAGTTTACAGTTATGCCCTTTGGTTTATGTAATGCCCCGGCCACATTTGAAAGATTAATGGAGGCAGTTTTAAGAGGTTGAAACGCTCAATACTCCGGGAGTATTGGGTTTTTTGAAGTGTAGAACTTCCAAATTTCAGAAGAACTGAAAGAGAAGTGATGAAAAAAAAATACTAAAAATAGGGCTAAGCTCAGAGGAACAAATTTAAATGGCCAAAGAGACACTAAATCTCAAGTGAGTGTTCGGGCTAGCTTCGATGCACTGGATTGTGGCTTTAAAGATATAAACAACAATAACAAGAGATAATGAACTAATGGGACAAGAAAGAAATGAGACCTGGTAATATCAAACGTGATACAACTGAAGAAAGTCACTGGGAATAAATTTATAGAAAGAGAACAATAAGAAGAGAAAAGAAGGGCGCCAACTCAACGATAGTTGAGATTTTGAAGTAACAAATGAATCTGTAGATAATACTCTGAAATACAAAAATACTAAATAATAATCTTGTTTTGCTATGTTATATACTGGTTAGTAGAACTGAAATAAAACTCAAAATAGCAACAATAAATATATTTATAAAAAAAAATGTAT